TCATAGTAAATCTTGAGTTAACAGTTCACTGGAGGGGAATATTAGCAATGAACAATGACTTCGATATCAGCACGTTCCTTAAACAAAGCTATCAAATGGTTTATAATAAAAGAGCTGCATGAAGATTTTTCTATATATGCACTTCATGTACCACAGAAGACAGAGAGTGATACATGTTGGTTCAATGACATAAAGGCGAATAAATAATTACAGATTTTTCATTTCTGAGTGAACCGTTCCTTTAATTCCTTAAAGCTGTCAAAAATATATATATAAGGCAGAATATTGGAGAGCGGATACTCTAACTTAATTAATGTCTTGTTTGAAAAAGACACCCTCATTGCAAATGAGTCCCATCAAAGTTCTCCCATGGCCTTAAAATGAGATCTAGGTCCAATTATTTTAGAGTGAGGAAATTATGGAAATATTGGACCTACACTGATATCAGTTATATAGCTATTTTAATGAATTCTGCCATGTTGAGAGTACAATAATTGTATTCAGGACTATCATAGCCAACACTAAATTAGTCCGTTTTGCTGATTTAAATGTTATGGTCAAAGTCTTTGGGGTCTAAATTGGTCTCAGAGGATCTTTCACAGATGATGATTGCGCTTGGCTTTTGTGATGTATCAATACAGTGATGCCGGCACAATGCACTCTTGGGATGGGCCGGCTGAAAGAAAAAATATATCCTTTACCAGATAAAATTACTTTTTCCTCTTGAAAGTCAGAAAAATGATTGGAATAATGCACTATTCATGGCATCGGACAACAGGAGGTGGGAAAAACAATGTAGAATAAGGTTCCCTTTTATATCCTTTTTCTCATCCCCATACACCCCGCTGCTGACCAATGCAAAAAAAAAAAAAAATAAATTCAGGTATCCTAATGTTTAAAAAATAACATTATTATTGGCCACTATTGAATCCAATGGCAGCCAATGCAGGTTGTAACAGATAAGGACCTGATGGAATCTGTCTTTGCACTATCTGAGCCAAAGTGGTCTCCGTATGAGTCAAATGGAACGGCGACGCATTGACAATTCAAATTGGACAGCAGCTTTGCAGGCAATTCACCCTGCAATCTACATGCGTCCCTCCACACCGGCATGCCTGGATGAGATTGCATTTTATACACAAAGGCCTTCACTTTGGAAGACCCTTCATATTCACCCACAATCTAATAAAGTCCCGTGGTTTACAAATGTGCTGAAGAATTCACTTCAAACTTTCTTACACATGGAACAATAAAATGGAAATTAGCTTAATTATTAAAGGAACAGCTCACTCCGAAATGAAAAAGCTATTGAAAAAGCTATTTTTCAATGACAGTTCATAATGACTCATTAAAATGGTCTATACACGCCATATATAATATATGTATGTAGCATGGGTCTCATGCATCTTCTGACAAAATCAGTGTTGTTAATGTTAAACTAAACTTATTATAAAATTAAAACTATCAGTAGTTGAAGGTCAACCAAACAACCCAATTCAGGCATTTTAGGGGCTGTCTATTATTACCCTTATTCATTGAGCTGTTGTGTTAGCTCTGTATAGCCTAAAAACTAGCTTAAGGTATAAGATGGACACTGGGAAAAGAAAGAGTGAATTGAACAATGCGCTATGTACCAGGCATGTCCTTAACATATGCAATTTGTTTTTCTGCGCTTGCCGAAGGGATAACGCCGATCTCTGACCCCACTGCAAACTTAAGCAGGTCCCCCGATGCCCGGCCTTCATGAATCTTTTAGGCAGAGGGAGTCTGGAGTTCAAAGTTTCTGTGAACTCAAGAAATAATAAGCTGCCTGATTAGCGTTGCTAAAAATACCAGCATGGCCAAAAGGAGCCAGGTGGTAGGACAGGCCTCCGGCCTATTTGCATGTTCAGAGGCCGATCTGATACACAGAGACACACCATTCAAGAGAGGCCCTGGTGCTTTTTACTGTGACAACAGCCCCTCAACACACGGTTTTATATACAGTAAACGTATCTTAGAGTAGTCTCGTATTGTGCCTTTCTTCTGCCAAATAATTTCTGCTACTGTTCGGGAAAAGAAAAACGAATGCTGTTGCATCAACAATATTAAACAGCTTGACTTTTCACCTGCAGTACACTGGATTGGAAACTGTAATGTCAATCATGTACTGTATCAGTCACCATATCGTTGTTCACACACCCACACAAATGCAACGAGAAAGGAAATATACACTTTTGCTTTTATTCTCCTTTCTATTAACAATACTGTTGCTCCACTTTTCTCATATGTTGTGTTAAACTCTCGGTACCCCGCCATACGCGTTTTCTCCTCTCCTTTTCCCTCTCTCTCCTCCTGTTTTATATTTAACTTCAACCTGTCAATTAAAGAGTGAGAGGGCAAAGAGGAAATAAGAGAGACAGGGAAAGAGAGACAGCAAGAAGCACAGAGCTAATTAGGCAACTGTGTAATTTTAATTAGCTGTTTTGATAATTAAACTAATTAGTTCCCCTGTGTTTCCACTACGTGCTACCGACTGGAGTTTTTTTCTTTTTACAACACGGCTTCAGAGCTCCACTCCGTCGGTTAATTAGTCACTTTTGCATCAGAAAACTTTATTGATAGCCTTAATTTGCAGTTGAAATGAGAAATCTGCTGTCAATAATTCGGATAATTGCCCGCCGTTTGATTGCGGAGAACAAAAGTGGCTGGCCTTTGAGTTTGAAGCTGCTGGAAACCCCTCGGGTCGTTTCCTGGATGCTTAGCTCTCCGTCCGATCTACATACCAGCAAATAACACTGCCGTCCGCAACATCTCGACCCCGCTAACAAGACGGGATTCCTGCCAAATAAGGAATGCTTTGACCCGCCCCACCTACGTTTCCCATCATGCTCTCCTCTTCTCGTCTGCCTCAGCCCTCCTCCCCGCTCCTCACACCCAGTGTCCTACGTTCGCGGTAATTGAGGAAGGAGGGTGGGGGGAGAGACACAGAAAGTTGCAGCTTTGCTTTGTAGCTAATTAGTGTCCTTGGAATTAAATGAGCAGCTCTTTGTGCACCTCCAGCTCCTGCGGCCCATGTTTGTGAATTGAATAATTGATTCCCCTCCACTAATCAGAGAGCGACATAATGAGCCAGTTTAATTAAATGGGGATCTAACCTGGCGAACACTGGGAAAATATTTGCTCGTTTACAGCTAATCAGAAATAACAGAGCAAGATGGTTCGGGGGGTGGGGGCTGGAAGACGTGAACCAAGAAGAACCAAGAAGAATAAAACCAAGAAGAACGTGCGTGATTGTGTGCTTCGAGGAGGGGAATCTTAAAACGGTGAATGTTGCTGAAGGAATATATGAGAAAATGCGATGCTGGGTTTGACGTTTTTTAAACGTTGGGGCCTAAAGTGAGGAAAACTTGAGATATATTATGTATCTTTGACTTCTCTTCTGGTATTTTTGAAGGCCTTGGGCCATGGGATGATGGTAGCAGATTGACCTTTCCTTATCATATGTGCAACACGCTGACACGTCCCTCATGGGCAGCACCCCAGGACGAGGTCGAGATAGCCGAGGTACCCCTGAGCATTGAACTCTCAGCCTCTTCTCACCTCCTTGATGTGCCACTAGAGGCACCACTTACCCTCAAAGGCTTGTGGATCCTACAGAGCTTTAAGTACGCTAAGATAAAATAATGGTGGCTCAAAGGTGTCTATGGCCAGCCACCAACCGGGTGATGGAGATGGATACAATTTGTTAAAAAAAACCTAGAGAGTTTAAGAGTCTGGGATTTTAGCCTGCCACAATCTGAAGGATTAAAAAGTGTGTTGCAGGATTTTTTTGGGCTACACTGTAATAGGGTTCAATTTGTAAAAATTAGTCAAAGAAAATTAGGTCATTTATCGACTTAGGTTAAGTTATACATATAATATTGTTTATTTCTGTTTGCTTGTTTTTATTTTTAATGCTATTTTTGAACATTATTTTTAATTAATACTTGCTGTGAAAGTATTCTATATTAGTTCATGATACCTTATGCACTAATGTTAACAAATTTAACCTTATTACTGACTAAAATGTCGTCAAGGTTTTTGAGATGATGCAACTTGACTAGTGTACGGGATTTGTATTTTTCTAGTTTATACTGTTAAATAAAAAAAAATAATACTTACTGAAAATTTGTACAAAGTGATGATATAGAGAGTCCAAAATAAACTCTCGCCAAGTGCCAAATGATTGTTTAAAAAAAGAAGACTTTTGTGCCCGTTAACTTTAAAGGAACAACAACATGATACATCTTACATACTGAACAACATCTGTCGCGACTTGTGCATCTTCTAACAACTTATAATCTCAATGGGAAAGTTATGTAGGACACCTACATTTTTTTTTCTCTCTCTGTGCCAAAAGGAAATGAACAAAACCATGGTTTCTTTATCACATTTTTGTACAGGAGCAGTTTTACAGAGAGGCGGACACAGTGACCTGTGCTGTTTGTAACAAGGAAATTAAGGAGAAAAAATCCCTGTGATGAGTACCTGAATAAATAAGTAAAATAATAAAAATAATTATTAAAAAAATAAAATGAAATATTTAATATACTTGGATTTTATCCATAAGTAAAGCTCTTTCAGATCTGTGTTATTTCATTGAGATATGTTAATAGTTTTTAGTAATAGTTTAAATTTGTTTTTATTTTTATATTTTCATATTTCATTTGAATTTTTGTTAAAGCTTTAATTTGTTCTGCGTTTTTGTCATATTATACGTATATAGTTTTTAAATTATTATTTCAGTTCTAGTTTTAGTTATTGTAGTACATCCACTGAAAGAAAATGATAAATGTTGTCTCGGAAAATATCTGAAATAAAATAAGCTTAATTTTTTTAAATAATTATTAATTTTTTTTTTCCAAGTAAAAAAAAAGTGTGTTTTCTGTGTTGGCGATGCATTTCCATTTGAAAAGATCAGCTGTGTTTTGTATTTGTTTTTTTTAATAGCCATGCTACTGCCATGAATTATTACTTACTAGTCGGTTGTATGTGGCATAAGGGGGCGGGCCATTCTTCTTCAAGAGAGCATCTGATTGGACAAAAAAATCTGCGTAGTGCAGGATGAGTCATCACTGCTCCGTTTTCCTGAAAGAGAAAAACATTTCAAATAGGCTATTTAAATCCGGTAAGAGTGAATTTAATCAACATTTAGGAGTAGATCAGCACAAAGATAACCTCAAAGCTACCAAAAAAAAAAAAACACATTTTATATCATGTTGGCTCATGTTGGAAATTAATGGGGAAAATCCCTGATGAGTACCTAAATAAGTAAATAAAATAATAAAAATAATAATTTAAAAAATAAAATAAAATATTTAGTAAATTGCAATTTTATTGCTACATTTTGCTACACTGAATTTTTAGTTTCCATATAAAACGTGCCCTAAACGTCACGACAACCTCACATGTTGGTCGTTTGCAGCATGGCTGGATTTGTGTTGATATTAGTTTACTAAAATACATCAGCACTATAAGAGGGCCGCCGTGGGACAGAAGTGGATCATTGAAAGAATACACACTCATCCTGCCCCAACCTCCTCGCCCTCCCCAACCCCCCAATGAAAAATGAAATACTGCATTGAAATTCCACACCAGAGGAAGGATAGAGAGAAGCTAAAGCTTTGAAGCTCCAGCCTGTCAGTCTTTTTTGTGTTTTTGTGTGTGTGTATGAAAGAGAGCGAGCGAGCGGATGAGTAAGAGAGTTCCATGTTCTAGTGCTTTCTCTCCTTCTCTTTCTTTTTCTCTATCCCATTCCTCTGTCTCTCTCTGTCCCTTTCTACCTCTCCCACCACTCGATTCCACAGGCCCCTATTTTTTTCACCTCTGTCATTCCCAAGAGCCTGCACAAATCAGAAACACAGATTTGAAAAAAAAAGAGTTGGGTTTGTGGACTTTGGAAAGGAAAAGGAAAACATTCCTTTGCTTTTGAACTTGCCAAGCAGCAAAACCACACCTTGGCCGTATCTCAGTTGTGTCCGATGAAGAGAACAAGAAAGGGTGGAAGAAGAATTAGGAAAGAAAGGTAAACAAACAACATGCAACACTGGTCAACGAGGACAACCTGCTTTCCTTTAAACTCTGCATGAAGCACCTGAAGTTTACAACATCGCTTCCTACGGGAAGGATTGTGGATTTTCTTGCTCCTACTTTACTTTATCGTTTTTAAACTTGCTTCTCAAATCCAGGGTTGGCATTTATTCATTCCAGAATAACTTAATGTCATTTATTTTAATTATCATCCATCAATAAGAGTCATTTTCTCACCCTAATGCCATTCCAAACCCCATGTATTTCCATACAGTATTTCTTTCATAAAACACAAACTGAGAAACTTTGATTCATTGTACTGGTTGCTCTCTTTCACATCAGAGGGTTTCAGACTTTTTGATGCCATGGACCTTAAAATGATGAGTTACTTGTGATGGACCCCTTCCTAAAATCTGTAAGCAAGCATAATTTTGGCATTTAAAAAAACTGTGAAAATATATTAAGGTTGATATATTATCAAGAAGATATGTCTCAAAACGTTTAAATATTACATAAATTTAGTTTTTTACATTCAAAGTAAAAAAGCTGAACCCAAAGTGAATCAGTAAAGTTTTATCCAGAAAACATTTACTCATTGACATTTATTTGCTTGTATTAAATATCACATATACAATCAACAGATTTTTAAATGTTTTATTTATTATATATTATATATATTTTATTATTTGTTTTTTATATTCAAAAACCCAAAAGCCATAGCTACTTGGTAAAATTTTATCTAGAAAGTATTTACTAATTTATTACTATTTTTATTTATAATTATATATTTTATTAATATTTCAAGTCAACACAGTGTTGACAACCCTAGATAAAATATATATTTTTTTTTACAAAATTCTCATGGTCCATACGACTTGTGCACTATATTCCCAGTTGACAGACAATAATTTAGTGTGACAAGCATGAATTTGGTACTGAAATAACTCAACAGTATGCAATTAAGCACTTAGAAGTGACAACCATATTTACATGCAACCTGAACCTGGCTGACGATGACCTTCAGCTGCTTGGAGAAATATCATCTCTCATTCTAACCGTACCACTGGGGATCTATCTCGAAGCTCAGGTCCACGTGAGAGCCAAATCCACCGTCTATCCTCCATCTTTACTAGAGAGAGGCGCGTGTACGAGATGAGACACTGTGGCTGAATATCAGACAGACAGAGGAGGATAACGAGCCTCATCCTTGCCGTTCATTAGCGCCGAGAACTCCCTAGCCTCGAGGGATGGGATAATTCCCACGGTAACCATTGCACATTCTTAACAAGCGTCTACGCTGAACTTGCTCTGAGTGAGCGCTGCAGCTAGTCCACCTGATTTGGCGGGTCCAGCCCACAAGTGTGTGCTTGGTTACATGAGAATGATTAGCAGGGTCTTATGGGACACTTTGAAGCCCCCGCTGACACCGCTTGCTCATGTTTGCAAACAAACACAGAGCCTTCTTACAGAAAATAAGGTATTTAGCAGCCATTGAGAGTTCTTAGTTGTGTAACTCTTTAAATATGGTGTCTGACTAGCATTAGCCATTCCAATTCATCCTAAAGGGTTCAAGTCTGGGATTTGTGTAGTCCAGGTCAAGTTCTTTCACTCCAGATGCTGTTTCAATTTCTTTAAGACCTGAAGTGTTTGTCTAATTAGTTGTATGCTTGATTTTATGCACCTTTTAGCAATTAGCAAGAGGCGTCCATGTAGTTTTGGTCACGTAGTGCTGCTAATTTCTTCGCTGTCACCTTTTTGTGTGATTTTGTGCTCGTGAAAGAAAACACTATGATTATTTAGCCTCAGGAGTGTGTGTTTTCTGGGCGAAGGCCTTGAAGAGAAGCATTAACATTCGTTTGCCACTTTGAAGGGGCAGCCATTACTAATCGCTAAGAAATTTCCTTACTACCTGAGGGCCTGTCAGGTTGTAAATGAAAAGGAATTAAGAAGAAATCCATAGGTTTCTACACCCAACCCCCTTCCCTCGAGTTTGCTCTCCCAGGTTGCGCACACTAGATGCGTGCACTATCATTAGCAGACCAAATTAAACATTAGCTCTTCGGCTGCCGGTAGTTTGGGCTAATTGCTAATCAGCAGTAAAAGTTGCCTGGCACGGAATATTGCTTACCATAAGCTAAAGGTAATTTGCTGCTTGAGACAAGCTAGGCCAACTTGTCTGTTGTTGTCCAGAGTCCGTTCCTAATTACTGCCGGAGGGCGATGACAGTCATTCAATGGAGATTAAGACTGAGGCGAAAAAATGGAAATGCACCATAATGCAGGAATGAGCTAGAAACGCTTCTGTCTGCTTTTCTTTAATTTCCCCACTCTCGCTCTGTTTCTCTTCTGCACTCTGTTTATTACCAAGAGGGATGGATTCTCGCATGGCAAATCGACAGCAGGGAAGCTTGTTGATAGCCAAAGAGTCCGTTGAAAAGCTCCATCTTGAACTGATTCCTTGAGCTTTGGGTAATTGGCACGACACTTACAGATATATGCAGTTATATTGGGCACACATAGCATACTGCACGTCATTTTCAATCTTTTCATTTGACAAAAATGTTTTACATATCATTTAGAAAGTATTTCTCAATTTAGGGAGGAGCTACAGTAATTATAGTCTCGTGTAGTCAGACAAAAGGTCTGGGAACCTTGGCCAGGGAACCTTTGAATGGCCAGGTAAAGCAACCAATCAGGTTTCGTTTTGTGTCGCGTCATGTTTAGGGGCGTGGAAATGTCGCCACAATAACAGACAAGTAAAAAAAATTCTTGGACATATTGTAAAGATTCTATGCTTTAAATATCTCACTTACTTTTGTCCGTGGCTTTGACGTTTGAGGCTGAGGCTACAGTAATTAAAACAAAAGTATCTTTTTGTGAATCTTAAGTGAATCAGTTTGCTCACATGATTCATGTAAAGAAATGATTCACTGACCAAATAAAAGATTCGCCAATTGAATAAAGAATTATTCAAATCATTTAAGTTTTGTGACATTTTTTGAAGTGAGCTGTTTATAATTTTGCTAAATTAATTTATATATAATTTTGGGTAACACGACATTCAGTTAGTTATATGCAGTGGTGCACATAAGTGGTCCGCAGGTCCGCATGCGTGACCAAAATAAAAAATGCACTGTGTAAATAAGTTCATACCGCACATTTGCGTACCGACATGGTTGACAGCTGTTAATGCACAATTACCGTTTTAGATTGACAAACTGTATTGTATAATATTTCTATTCAAACTGAAAGCATAAATCTAGGCTACCCGCTGCCGTTTTCAAAGCACACTGCAAAACTGTGACATTTCATTCACTGACTGACGCTTTTCAATTGGCACCGGCAGCGCTAAACACGGAATTCATATTTTAAAAAAGAAGTAAATATTAGCATTTTGTTTTTAAGTTTTCTATAATATAATTGTATTTGTATGTAATACTCCCTTTTTATTTTAGAATATAATAGTATAATCACACTTTATTATTTTGTTTATTATTTTATTTAAAAAAAATATTAAATAAAGTGCAATAAGATTATCACTATTATTAATTTATTTTTTATAGTTATATTTAATGGGTCACACTATGTGCAGTGTGAGGACCAAACCAAATCTCCAGGTTGAAAAACGTATGTGCACCCCTGGTTATATGCATATATGCTGGATATGGTTAACAGCATATAAGTTATTCATAATGTTATTTTTTTCTGAATATTTTCATTTGACGAAAATGCTTTATATCAATATTTCAAAATTACTTTAAGATTTTTTTTGTTAGCTAATTAAAACAAAAGTAGCAATGCTACTAAATTAGCTATATTTTTCATTCGCTGTATTTAAAAAGTTTTCCTCAGTATCATTGTAATCAAGAGATAAGCAAAGAGAACAGTTTTCATGATTAAAAAAATGTATATTGGTATATTTTGTCATGTGTATTCCTCTACAATTGAAATAAATCTAACAAGCTTTTCTTAAAGCTCTGGAATCTCATATTTTGAGGTCTGATTCATTTTAATGAATCAGTTTGTTCAGTTGAGTTAGGTAAACAAATGATTCACTGATCAAATAAAAGATTCACCAATCCTATAAGCAATTCTTCAAATCATTTAAGTCTTTGCGTCATCTTTTCTGAAGTAAGCCTATTTGATAAAATGATTAAGTTTATAATTTTCAGAATGATATAAATGTGTTTTCAGTTTTATTAGCTGTATTTATTGTACAAATTCATCCTGTTATCCTAATTTCAGATCCTTACAGTTAAAAAGCTTCAATGTATTTAGCACATTTTTTTTGTTAGCACCTTTTAGCATAGCTACCTTTTGTTTTTAAAGTGTAACCCAGCTATATGATTTGCTTGTAGCTTTGCAAGCAGCAATTTCAAATTCATTTTTTAGCCAATAGAGTATTTGTTCTAAAAGATCTGAAAGAAATTGCATATTTATGCTAGTTATGTACTGTATTATCGCTACAGATCATCCACGATGTTCACAGATGAAAGTGGCGCTTTTTCCCACCGTGTTCCCATCAAGTGCCACATCATCCTGTTTCTGATTGTCTCAGTGTCAGCCAACCTGGCTCAGTTGATGTCCCACAGGACATAAATACAGGATAAAATCTGAGTCTACAGCTATCATAATTAATAATCACCCACCCACAGGCTTCTCAGTCTAACCTTCAAAATCCAATCCAGCTCGTCTTCTGATCCCCGGATTGATAGATGTGCATGTTTCCCGCACGCGAACACTGTAAATATGTATGTACTCATAAACTCAAACAACATTCGTCCCTTTCATCTGCAGGTTCGCCGTACGGGGAGGAAAAGACACATGTGTACAGATACACACTCGCGCACTTTTATCTAATGTCAGATATCAAAATGTCAAACCATCGGTTGGGGGGAAGGGGGGGCGGAGCGGGTAGTCGTGGATGTCTCACACCCCCTGGTCGAATCCCAGTGCAGCCCGATCAATACATCGTTATAGATCTTAATCACGTGAAGCGTATAATCGCCTAAAACCTATCAATTATAGAGAGTGAGATAGCTGAGCTGCCAAATCCTGGCCTGCAGCCTCCTTCCTCCTTGGATTAGGATCTGAGATTGGGTCAGGATCATAGGAGCCGCGCCCTGCCCGGCCAGATAGCACATTAATGACCACTCCAGGGGCAGCTGTCTCTCAGGCTGCAGTCTGGCAAAATAAATAATAAATCATTTAGGCTGGAGCTGACATAATTACCAACTAAGAAGCTCGGCACAGGCCAGCGAGGCCAGTAACAATGGCAGAGGAGAGAGCGATAGGCCGCTGATTAGCTCCTCTTTCTGCACACATGAAGCTCGGCTTCTCTCTTTACAATATCCGTCTACCTTTGCTGGCTTTCTGAAGTTTATACACAAGATCACAGAGTGCTGGTGCTGCACTTTTGGATGTCTGCATCATTAGTGGCACCAAACAGAATTCCAAAATAATGACTGTGTTTAATCAACAGGTTTCACATTCGCTAATGGCGGGAAACTGCGACGCGACTGATGATGGCAGCAATGGCAAGGTAGTATGTACAGCTGCATTCATACTACATGTACCCTCATAAAATATGCTTTATTAGCGGTCGAAAGGTAAGCCCATGCAGATCTCTCCGACAGTACGTGATTTCAGGTTCAACTACAGTGTAGAAGATGAATCACTTGGAAAAAATAAATGCAAGAAATTGGAATGAATGGCAGATGTACAAAGTCCTGATTTCAGTTTTAAAAAAGCCTTTTTGATAGAGACGTTTTTATATTAGCTCGACCAGAAAAACCTAAGTTACCTCAACTGTCAAACTGTCCTTGAGACGTTTTTCTTTCCTCACTCAAGTAAATATAAGCTTTATTTGAATGTCTGTTGTCTACATAAGAATAGCTGCCCAGGGGGATTTGTCAAGATGGCTGCCAAATGAACTGATTTGTATGGTGGCACAGCACAATGAAACACAACGCATAGGACTAATTCTGTTGTATTGTACTAATTTCGTTGTGTTGCGACTTGTTTACTTTGTGTTGTGCTAATTATATTGTGTTGTGGCTTGTTTACTTTGTATTGCGACTTGTTTCCATTGTGTTGCGGCTTGTTTTCTGTTGTGTTGTGCTAAGTTCGTTGTGTTGCAGTTTGTTTCCATTGTGTTGTGGAGATTTCCTTGTGTTGTGTACTACTGGGCCAACATTAGACTCGCGTAGCCAGACCTTCAGACTGACGGC